ACAAAGCACGTCGGAGTACACCTGAGCAGCAAAAGCACGTCGGGGTGGGCAAACGGAGGGTCCGGACCCTAATTCTTGGGTCCTGTGGACCTAAACCCTAAACACTAAACCCCCAGGGCTGCAGATCGAAATCCCAAAGCTCTAAACCTGCATTCCTACAGTTGATGATATAAATCCTGCATTACCCCAAAATAAGGAATATACTATACCGTAATTCCCATAGTTTAGGGTTGCTAAGGTCATGCTGAGGATTCATATCATCAACAGTAGACCCCGGGAACCTTAGACCCTCACCAGACGATGTTTCGCGAGGAGCTCCAGGACATCAAGTCCTTGAAGCAGCTCTTGCGCTTTCAGCACGGCTTTCCGGTTCCCGGGGCTTCGACTGGTGTTTTGGGGTTTAGGGGCCTAAATTTCCGGGCCTGAACACACTGCTCAGGAAGTTCGAGTAGAGCAGAAAAGGCCGCAATCAGATCGTTCAAGCCTCTGTACTGCAGAAACCAGGGGTTTCAGGCGTTCAGAGTTTTGAGGCTTCAGCATGTCGTGCTTTCGGTTACTACGCATGGGGGTTGCATGTAGGATGCCGCTTCTGTAGTAGAGTCCAGAGCTGTATCCACGGACCCACGCAGAAACCCTGAACCCTGAGCCCTAAACCCTAAACCCTAAACCCTAAAGCCTGAGCCCCAAACCCGGAACCCGGAAGCCGCAACCGTGAGGGGCTAAGACTGGCTAGGGGTTCAACTCCAAGCTCCCCCCAAAAAAAGATCTTCTGGGTTCTTGTTAAGGGGTTTTAGTTAAGTTACCATCATGGGGATCTACAGTAAACAGTATGATTTGTTTGTTGTGATAACTTAAACAAAATCCCTAACAAGAGCCCAGTCTTTCATGTTGCAATCGACCTTAAAATGTAATGGGAGCCCTATAAACTCATCTAAAGCACAATGGGAGGCTTCCTAGGGGATGTAAGGGATATATCCTTCATTAGCCAAGTTAAGTGTTGGTGGAAGGCCTGGGTTCCTGCTATTTCTTCAGAAGCAGCTTTGGATGGGTGTCCTGCGAGCCCTGAGAACACAGAATCCGAAAGCCCAAAGTTGCCCAAAGCCCTTTAGGGCTTTCCTCGACTTGCTTGGAGGCCCCGGGGACTTCGTCAGTAGGTCATAAGTAGAGGTATAAGTACCCTAAATGGAGCTACACCAATTATAGCCGACTTACTAAGTCCCCTGGGGGTCCAAGTGAGGTCAGCCTACAGCAGCTCCTCCATGGTGGAAGTAAGCTGGAGGAGAAGGGCTCGGATCTTCGGGAACTCTGCCTGCCCATGGATGTACAGCTCTTGCTTCTGTCGGAAGCGCGAGTCCCGGACACGGCTTTGGAGTTTTCTGGGCGCAGTTCAGCTTTGGGTTCAAAATATAGGGGCTTAAATCAGTACCAATGCTACGTTTGACAATTTTGCTTCGGGTTAAATAAGTATAGGGGCTTAAATAAGTGCGCCTATAATATTATATTTTAAAATTTTGGGGGTTCCTTGTTCTAATCTAAGTATAGTATGGTATACCCCAAAATCAAAACCCCTAAATCCCTCAACCGGATCGTCCGCAGCGACTGCTTTTGCAGAAGCCCCTGCTGGGTTCTTGTTAGGGGCTTTCATTTAAATTGCCATAATAAAGAAACCATACTATTTCCGATAGATTCCCAGTATGGTAACTTAAACGAAATCCCTAAACCCTAATACCCTAAACCCTAAACCCTGAAACCCTAAACCCCTAAAGCCTGAAACCCTTGTAAAAATCCCTTAAGACAAGAACCCAGCCCAAGCCTGAGGTTGCTTGAAGCAGCGGAGAGTGGCGAGCCAGAGGTGGCGCGGCTCCTCATCGACGCTGGAGCAGACATCGACCTCGTTGACCCGAGAGGCCTCAGTTCTGGGTGGTTCAGGGTTTAAGGTTTAGTCGTTTAGAGGTTTAGGGGTTTAGGGTTTTGGGTTTGGGGTTTAGGTGTAAGGTTTAGGGTTTAGGGTTTTAGTAAGTAGAGACTGTGACAGGTCTGGGGTGGTCCCCAAGTACCCAGAGAACCCAATAGCCCTTAATTAAGGAATATATACCGTAAATCATAAGATGAAGGCCTCTATAATTTAAGGCATATTCCATCAAAAAAAGGCTATTGGGTTCTTTGGGTAGGGGCATTGTGAGCCTTCCTTTCAGGGATCTACCAGGGTACTACCAAGGCTCTACGAGAGTTTTTCCGGGTTTAGGGCTTAGGGTTTAGGGTTTAGGATTCTTAGGTTGCTGGGGTAATGTAAAGGTCTGAAAGCTGCTCGGAAGGCTTGCTTCACAGTCTTATGAGCCTTTCGATCTCTTGCGACATAGGGTTTAGGGTGCAAGCCTTGAAGTGATGTGCATCTGAAAAGTTGGGGGTTTAGGGTTCAGGGAGGGTTGAGTTAATGTGTCTTCATGGGGTCAGAGGGGTGTGATTTAGTTTCGGGTGTACACACGCATCGCCGAATTCTAGGCACCGCAGAAGACTTCGAGATGTTCTCCCTGGTTCTTAGTAGTGAATAGGGGAATGGGTTATTGGGACTACTATAGGGGACCTTAGGAGACTATCATGGGATCCATTCCCCCATTCCCTACTAAGAACCAGGGAGTGTTTCAGGTATGAGCCGGTATGAGCCTCAGCGCTCGAAGTCTGGACCTTAAGCCGTTTAACCTCTGAGCCCCAGAACCTGCAACCTGTTCCGCATATCCCTGAACCCTAAATCCTAAACTGGCCCTAAACCGCGCTTTCGGTTGAGGGTTTAGGGTTTGGGGTTTAGGGACTGTTTTTGGTATTCCTTAGTATAAGCATAGTCTAATATACCCCTGCAAACCCTAAAACCTTAACCTTGCCTCGATCCACCTACCGCCCGAGGCTTCACGACCATCAGTTGCGCATCTGCAAGAGGCCACACTGAGACTGGGCGGCCTGCTGTTTGGGTTTACCCATAGGCCCCTAAGTAGTTCCTTTTTAGGGGTGTACCTTGTAGGATTGTAAATATAAAACCACGAAAAGGAACTACTTAGGGGCCTATGGGTGTCAACCGAAGCGAAATGAAGGTTTTTTGGGTTTAAGTTTGGGGTTTGGGGTTTCAGGACTCTATTTCTTTTCGGATTTCTGTAATAAAACAGGAGACATGGAGGCTAAATTCCCTCAACCCACTCCTAAGCTCCTAGACCCTAAACCGGAAACCCTGAACAGCAAACCCCTAACCCGAAGCCTCTAAATTCTCCACAGTACCCTAAGCCTAAGCCCTATACCCTACTTAGAGGCCCAGATGACTTCGTAAGCAGGTTATGAGTAGAGTTAGAGGTACCCTAAACGGAGTTACACCAATTATAAGCCTACTTATAACCGACTTACTAAGTCCCCTGGGCATCCAAGTATACCCTAAACCCCAAATTCTCCACAGTACCCTAAACCCCAAGCCCTAAGCCCTAAACCCTAAACCCTTAAGTTGACTTCAGAAAAGACGCAGCCAAGGAGATCGTCCGCCTTCTGCTGAAAGCCGGTGCAGACCGCAGCCTGGCTCTGTACCCAAAATATCCCAAGTACCTCCCCTATGGGTTCCTTTAAGGGTTTAGGTTGGGTACTGCCCCCATACAGTAAGGGCCTTAAATATCCCTATCATGAATATTACTCAACTGTCCTATGGGTTCCTTTAGAGAGGACCCAATTATAAGGTGCTTTGGTTGCGGATAGTAGTTGTGGATATGATTATTAGGTACTTGGACCCTTAGGGTAAGGGTTTAGGGTTTAGGGTTCGGGGTATTGGAGTCAGCATTATGATTTGGGGAAGCACGTTTTGGGCGAAGACCCAGCCAAAGACAGTGGCCTTAATGATGCCTAGGGTTTCGAGGCAGAAGGGGTTTGGAGGTTACGGGTTTCAGAGGTTTAGGGGTTGGGGTGTTTAGGGGTTTAGGGGTTTAGGATTTAGGGGTTTAGGGTTTCGGGTTTAGCATTCAACTCAATCATTTCAATACCCTTACCCTCTACGAACTCATGTTTTGAGGCTTTTGGGCCCAAAGACCGTGTTATATAAGGCTTTTGGGCTATTTTGATGCTAAGGGATAGGATTTTTGGGGCAACTTGCTCTATAGTGCCATGATCTGGAAGCCCAAGGACTGGCGTTGGCATTGCTAGCGATTCAGGCGTTGTATCAGCTTCTGTTGCGGAGATCTTACAAGTTAGGAACCCTAAGGGTCCAAGTGCCTAATAATCATATATTCTTCTGAATACTAACCTACAAACCTACTATCCGTAACCCAGGTATATGATTATTACGTCCTTTGGACTCTTAGGGTTACAAGTTAGGAAGCTCAGCATCCTAGACATTTCCTTCTGTATTTATGTTTGCAGCTTCGGGAGTCACTTCGAGTTCTTGTGAGCTTTTGGACTTTCTGGTTCTTCTAATTTGGCATACTACGCGTTGGGTCATTGCCTAGCTGTCGGAGTTTAGTATCTAAGGTTCGCCGTTTAGTCTTGAGCATTTTCATAATTTTGTTACGAGTCTGAAAGTCCCTGAGTATTAAACCCCTACACCCTAAACCCCCTAAACCCCCTAAGCCCTACACCCGAAACCAGAAAGCCCTAATACCCCTAGACCCAAAACCGAGTCCTTTCCTCGAGTTGCACGCTCGGGATACCGCCGAGGCGATCTACGTGGGAACCGGGGGTTCACGGCTCTGATGTGGGCATCTGCAACTAGGTTCCACAATAGCACCCTTTTGCCCTTTTTGTTTTAGGGTCTCCTTTTGAAAAGCCGAATATTAGGAAAAAGGGTACCCTTATTAAGAAGGGCTTACTTGCCCTTTTTGTTTTAGTGTCTTCTTTTGAAAAACCGAATATTAGGAAAAATGGTACCCTTATTAAGAAGGGCTTACTTGCCCTTTTTGTTTTAGTGTCTTCTTTTGAAAAACCGAATATTAGGAAAAAGGGTACCCTTATTAAGAAGGGTTTACTGGGGAACCTAGGCAAGGGGCCACGTGGAGGTCGCGCGCTTGCTGCTGGGAGCAGGTGCGAGCAGCTTCATATCGGAGTTTCGTTTCGGGGGTTTGGAATATTGGAAGTTTTTGAGTGAATTTTCGGCCTTTTGAGAAATCTTACAGTAGGACTATTAGGGAGTGTGTGTATATTTGAGTTTTGGGGATACCAGTAGCAACCAGAGTCTCTCTTCAGGTGCTGACACCGATTTGACGGACCGGACGGGGGCTACAGCTTTGATTATGGCATCCATTCGTGGCCACGTCGAGATACTTAACAAAATAATTTAAAGTACCAAAATAGGGATCTGTAGTAAATAACATGGTCCCATGGTCTCCTTTTTATGGTAATTTAGTTTGACATTAAATCCCTTAACAAGAGCCCAGGATAGTCAGCTTGCTCTTGCAAGCCGGCGCGGAGAAAGATCTCAGGGACGAGTCAGGCTTTTCGGCTCTTAGCTGGGCATGTGACTCCTGGGACGACGGAGGTGGGGCGATCCTGCGTATTGCGAGAGTGCTCCTGGAACATGGGGCCGCCAAGGACGTCGTGGACAAAACTGGGAGGACAGCTCTGATGCTTCTGGGCTCTTGTTAGAAGATTTAATTTAAGTTACCATAATAAGGAAACCATATTATATACTATAGATCCCTATTATGGTAACTTGAATACATCTTAACAAGAACCCAGGCTTGCATCCTCCAGAGGTCACAGGGAGCTGGTTCGCCTCCTACTGGAGGCTGCGGCCAGCTTTGATGTAGAAGACATGAAGGGGCACACGGCCCTGCATCATGCAGCCAAGAAGGGGCATGTGGAGGTGGTGCGATTGCTGCTGGCCGCAGGTGCCGACCGAAATGCATCGGAGAAGTGTGAGAGCACAGCTCTCATCGAGGCATCCACCGGAGGTCACCTGACGACAGTCCGAGTATTACTTTCAGAGACTGGTAAGGCTACAGACTTCGCAGGCCAAAGGGGTAGAACTGCTCTCCTCTGGGCATCCATCCACGGCCATGCGGAGGCTCAGAGGGCAGAGCGAACCCTAAACAGGGCCTCTTGAAAAGGGATTTTTGTTTAAGTTACTATACTGGGGAGCTAGAGTTAAATAATGTAGTTTCTTTATTATGGTAACTTAAATGAAATCCCCTAACAAGAACCCAGGAAATCCCACAAAAGCCTGGGCTCCCTAAATCCTCAACTTGCAGCCCTAGAGTCAGAGTACAAAGCTCCACTGTCAGGACCCTGGCTTCCACCCTCAACCCCTAAGCCCCGAAACCATAAACCCTCAGGTGGTGCGATTTCTGCTGGAGGCCGGGTCAGATCAGGAGCTGACGTACGACGACGAAGACACGGCTCCTGAGCCGTTTATGGCCCCTACCAGGGGCCTAAACATGTTTTCACCACTACCGATACTATGTTGGGTTTCCGGATATTATAAGTATATATATATATACATACAGAGTTTATGTGTGTGTATATATATATATATATTTATGTATATTTATTTATATTTATATTTATATTTATAGTATAATGTACCCAAAACCCCCCATGTTGTGGTCTAGTGCGTGTGCTAAGGGCTCTCTTCCTGCGGGTTCATTGAGGGTTTTAGGGGTCTCATCCGGACCCTTAAGAACCTCGCCTCTCTAGGGGATCCTGAACCCAGAGACTCCAAAACCCCTTGATTTTAGGAATATGCCTTACCTGGACCCTGAAGAACCTACCCTTTTTTAGGGTTCCTTATTATGATTTCTTGGTATAAGTCCTGAAAAAGGTAGGTTCTTCAGGGTCCAGGCAAATCGTATAAGGGTTCCCATGCTAGTTTAAGGTCTATTCCTTATTTAAGGGGTATTGGAGTCTCTGGGAATATGATTTCCTGATAAAAAGCCCTTAGAACGGTTTTTTGGGGTCTAGGCAAGGATTAGGGGCTTTAAGGTGTTCTGGTCTAGGGTGTGACTGGGCTGCTACAGGGTTCTGTAAGGGCTCCATGTAAGGATTTTCGTCTGTAGGGTTTCATAGTTATAATGGCAGCATAGAGTTCTACCAACGCTCTCCAGGTTTTTTTTGGGATTGAGGGCCTTCATTGCTCTAAGTTTATTGCAGTATGGGTTCATTAGCAGCTGGGCGTTGTGTAAGGTTGCAGCTTTGTGGTGGAGGTTGGGGATTCAGATTTCCGAATGATCCAAGGCGCTGATTCAAGCATCTGCCAATGGAAGCTTGAAATTGCACGGCTACTCTCGGAAGCCGGCGCGCTGCGGACCATCCCTGCAGTTGCACATTGACGTGAGAAGACCTCAGGCAAATGCTCCGTTTCACATTGCTTGACAGTTGCTTTCGCTGATGCAGCGATGAAGCCGGTTGCAAAAAGCGTAAACGAGAAACTCAATCCCTAAACCCTGAACCGTAGATTCGACAAGCAACAGGTGGAGGCTTTGGGCATTAAGGTTGCAATGGTCTCCGAAAGAACATAGTGACACGAGCAAGACTAATCACGAAGACGACGAGCAGAGTATTTTAATAGTTACGGGCAAAGCAGATGCCCTCTGCATCAGTAGACAAAATGGCAGAGCAACAATGGCCACGGCAGCTTCACCAGCGTTGGTGGTGCCACTGCAACATCATGAGACTACGACAAGGTAGGTTTTAGGCTGCACTGTTCAACGTTTGACCGCAGCCCGCCTCATTTCGCCGTAAGTCACCACAAACCCTCAACCTGAACATGAATGCTAAAAGATAAGGATCCAAGCCGGAAAAAATGTTACAAACCTGGTGGCCGAAGTTCGGCCACGAAGATTTCGGACTCCTGGATGTATTTCAATTTGTGATTCCTAAGCCGAAGACAGAAACCCCGAAGAAATCCCACATATACTCGAAATCCAAAGCCCAAGATGTCCCCAAGCCCGGACGATCATTAAGCCCTTCACATGGGTAAATCTCTAAATTAGGGTTTTTTTTTGTTTTTTATATGGGTGTCGTACTATATTTGGGGCCTTCAACAATTTGACAAAGGGACCCTAATTTAGAGATCTACCCACATCTAAACCCTAAGTGGAGAAATTGTGGGCATTAGGGTTTAGGATATAGGGTTTGGGGTTTAGGATTTCGGGTTTAGGGCTTTATAGGGTTTAGGTGTTATGGTGTAGCAGGGGGGTGAAGTTTGAAGGCTCGTGGGTTTGGTATTCATGGGGTAGACTATACAAACTAAATGTACTGCTGATGATATAAATGCGGCAGTACCTTAAGGACCCTAAACTATGGGAACTCTTTGGTATATTCCTTAGCCTTATTTTGGGTAATGCAGGATGTATATCATCAACCATAGGGCCCTTAAGCCCTAAAGCCTTATAGTACCTGTATAGAAACCCTTAAAAAGGACCCTTAAGGAGCCCTTCAAAAGGAACCCTGAGTGGTTAGACTATACACCCGCAAAGTAGTAAAGGAAGGGCTGCTTCTACGTCCTCACGGCGCTGCAGTCGACGTTGCCCAGCCAGGGGAGAACATTGGCGAAGAAGGCGCGCAAGGAGATTTGGCCTCTAGGGCGGATCGGACTTAGATCATAGGGTTTAGGGTTTAGGGGTCATTATCTACTACATTCTATTTCTGACTATCATGGTTTAGGCCCATTGGAGTTGTTATTGGCACTATCCCTTCATAGCCCTTGTTAAATTTTGAAGATTTCATGTTATAATGCTCCCCAAACCCAAGGGCTCCAAGTATGCAAATGGTACCTACTTTGGGGCCTAAAGTCTATAAATAGGACCTACTTTGGGCTATTTGGAGCCCCAGGGCAAGCCCACCCTAAACCCTCAACCCTAAACCCTAAACCCTCAACCCTAAACCCTAAACCCTAAACCTTAAACCCTAAACCCTATTTGGAGCCCCAGGGCAAGCCCTATGCTACCTTGGTGAGGCCCGAGGGTTCGAGGTCTGGGAGTTTGGGGTTCGGTCAGACAGAAGGCCCTAAGGCACGGATTCCTGCATCGGCGGTTTTAGGGTTTAGGGTTTTAGGGCTTTAGGGCTTTTAGGGTTGAGGGTTTAGGGTTCAGAGTTTAGGATTTAGGGTTCAGGGTTTAGGGTTTAGGAGTTAGGGTTTAGGGTTTAGGGGGTTTCGGAGCTTTGGCGTGGCTTTGGCATAGGAGAATAGGCTTTAAGGGCTTAGGGTTCCTGTTTGACAGCTATGATCAGAAGCAGGATTGTTTTTTTCTGAATCAGTGTCCTACACGGAGCTTAAATCGTACACCCCAGGTTGATCGGTGAATCAGTGAAGGCTTTTGGGAGTGTGGGCACTCGTCCCTTTCAGGGGGTCCTCGATAACAATCGGACCTTGTAATCATGGCTACAGTGAGTGAGTATCGAATTTCTAAACGTGTATCGCGGTGAAAACTACTCAGTATTGGCCCGTTCTGGTTGTTCCTGAACCCTGAACCCTAAACTGTTGTGTGTTTTGTCAGTACTGGGATCTGGCTTCATTACGGGCTTGGCCGACGCTCGTCGCAACATCGTCCAGCTCAGGGGGTCCTTTCAAGGGGTTTACGGCCAGTTTAGGGCTTAGGGTTGCAAGTTAAAGCCCGAACCCTAAGCTCCAACTCCAAAGGTCAGTTTTCGGGCTGCTGGATGTTAGTCCCTGTCGTGCGCAAGCATCTCCAATTCCTAGTTCTCCTGCAGGGCAAACGGCAAAACCACGGTACAGTCAAACCGAAGCGGCAGTTCTAGCACAAGCTATATCGGCAGTCGGAAGAGTGGCATTTGCCCAACAGTATCAGCTTTTCCTGTCAGCAGTCTTCGAAAACATTGAGACGCCTTAAAACCTCCATCCCTGAACCCGAAGCCCATAACCCTACAGCCACAGGTGCCCTTCCTGGGCGACATCATGCGAACCGGCTGCGCTGTGAGTGGGGTCGGAGGTGCAAGCTTGTTGGGCCATCGTGTGGTTTAGTACAGAGCTGCTTGGGGGCGTAGGGCTTACAGCCTAATGGCTCCAAAGGACCCAGTAATACGGTACTTGAGTTTAGGACAGTAGTTATGTAGGTTAATGAGTATTAGGTACTTGGACTCTTAAGGTTATAGCTTAAACCCTGGCCCGTAAACTCTTTGGGTCTTGTCTATGCCTCAGCGAGTGGTGAAGGTTTTGCTTTCCGCGGGATGCTTCCACTGGCTTCCACGTCTTCATTCCTTTGCAAGTGCAGCGCGAGTAAGGGTTACCTGATCTAAGCAACCTGCATTTCTAGAGTTCTTTACTCCGAGTTCCTCCTATACCAGTAGCTCGTTAAAGGCTAAAGGTCGTTCGCCGGGCTCTGGCAGTGGTTGAGGACCATGTCAGCCACAGGAAAGACTTCATGTGTAGGGTTTACAGCTCAGGGGCTTTGGGTCTGTGTAGAGACGTTGCATGTAAATCCCTTTAATATAAAATATCAATCATAATCATCATCAAAATAACTCATAGTAGATACTAGCAACAATAATGATAAGGGCAACTAGAAGGTCGCTATCAAGGTTCATGCTTGGGGCTGATCTGAGGTTCAATGGAAGCCTTTGAAGGGTTTAGGGTTTAGAAGGGCTCGCATGTTGAGGCGTTCAAAGACTTTAGGAGAAGATCCCGAAACCCCAAGCCCGAAAGCCTGCACAAACAAGCCAACGCCCCAATTCTGAGGGCCGCAACAGCCATGCGTAAACCCGGCCCGAAACGGTACTGAAACCCTAAACCCGGAACCCACACCCCGAGCCATACGCCCATGTATGACCAACTTACCATGCTCATTAGCTTTCGGGGGCGCTTCGAACAGAGATCTCAGGATAACACATTATGACATGCAATATACAGTACTATTGCTATCAATCATAGTCTGAGTAAGAAAAACATAACCGTGTTCCTTTTAGCCGCATCTTCCCGTATGTTTAGATGGTGTATGGTACATATCATCCCTAGAGCTCTTGCCGCGCTTTGTTGCTAAAGCTCCTGTATCAAGTCCCTATCCAAGGCAGATGGATCAGGCGGCCCAGCGGCAACGCAGCAGAAACCGACGACCTAATCCCCGCACGAATGAGCATTCATAGGTCATAGTTCATAAACCCTACCTGGGACTCTAACTACCCACAGTTTGATGCTTTCTACCTACCAAATAAAGGGTAGTGGCTGCTAAACTGTAGGTACAGTTACAGGCACACCCTAACCCCCCACAATCCCTGAATCGTCCCTAAACCCTAAACCCTAAACCCACACCCATAAGCCTCGAACGTCCCGACTCCCGGAACCATGCCGAAAGCCTGCAGTGTGCCCAGATCTTTACACCAAAGCTCCCAAGATCTTTTGCCCAAGGTCCCTAAAGCCTAGACCACAAGGAACCTCAAACCCTAAACTCTATACCCTAAACCCTAAACCCTAAACCCTAAGCCTAAACCCTAAACCCCAGAGATTCCACGCTCAAAAAACCAGAGCCCTAAGCCCCAAGCCGCGTCCTCGCAGGGTTCAGGGAACAGCAGCCCCAAAGCTGCGGAGTTGTGAATCTACCCATTGTCTCTATTGTAGTTCCTTTTCGGGTTTAGGGGTCAGGGTTGAGGGTTTAGAGTTTCGGGTCTAGGGTTTAGAATCCTAAATATAAAGCTTGTTAAGCCAAAGGAAGGAACGCAAAGGCCCCCGACAGTCGCTGTGTTTGTTGAGAAGAAGCTGAGCCAAGCTGAAGAGCCCTAAGCCCGAAGCCCAAGACCCCACAGCCGAAACCCTAAACCCTACACCCGAAGCCCAAGACCCCACACCCTAAACCCTACACCCCAAGACGCTAAACTCTACACCCAAAACCCGAAAACCTACGCCCTAACCCGAAGCCCGAAGCCCAAGACCCCGCACATAGAGGTTAGCACACAGCCCTCAGCCTTATATCCACCCGAAAACCTGAGCCCCCAAACAAAATTATAGGGGCCTAAACAAGTACCAATACTCTTTTGGGGGGGTCCTTATGAATATTATTCATAGTATAGTATATCCCAAAACCCTACTAAGTAATATTAAGTGCCAATACTATTTTGGGGGTCCTTATTGATATTTATAGTATAGTATGCCGCAGCCCCAAAACCCTATTCTATTCTAGTCATTCAGGCTCCCACATGACCTCAACCCTAGACCTTTCCGGATGGATCCAAGTACCTACTAATCCTATGCTCTCCCAAATATAATATTGACTTAGATAACTACTTTCCGTAAACAAAGTACCTTATTATTGGGTCCTTTTTATAGGAAGCCATAGGAGGTACTTGGGACCAAATATTGACCTAGACAAATACTATCCGTAACGAGAGTACCTTATCATTGGGTCCGTTGAGCCCTTAGG